CTGAATTCCAAGTTCTAAAAATTCAACACACACCATTAAATAAATGGCACATTCTGAAATATTAAAGAACAAGCACTTCTCTATTCTCGTGATTCTTTCCCCACTTAGACACAAATTGAAAAGCTTTTGCATCAAATACTTCAAATGTAAATCCAAATGCTGACCTTGGCTGTAAAAGAGAATGTGCAATCCACACTGATTCAATAAGAGAGAGCATTGTTAAATTTAAATAACTAAAACACCTAAAACACTGAAAACACCTCATTTCTGGTAACTGGCTGCCATCAAAATAGAAATTACAGTTGAAGTGCACTATATGAGCATTTGCATAATGCCACTTGGGGATAAATAAAGTAGTACATCTATCAAAAGAGGAAACTGTTTTATATTTGACACAGTGCTGGTAGATTTTGTGGCATCTGGCTGTGGTTTGAAGGTTCCTGGGTTTTCTAATTCCATCTTGGGACCTCAGCACAGAAGCATGTCACACGGATTGAGAAAACATGATTCGGCTGCAACTACAGCTCATGTATTTTTAATGAAGATGATGTGACAGCATGTCGCTGTATCACATTCCACGCTCATGATGCCGAGCGTGAGTGCGTAATCGAGTAAACGTTTGCGTGTCCTCCCTCAATGTAAACCAGATGCATTTTAGCACATTCACAGGCCAAATCATCATATTATTGAACAATAATCTGATGATTTGGCCTGTGAATGTGCTATGTGAATGTGCATCTAACCTAAGCCTTCACCTTAGGTTGGATGTATATTATTGTCAAAAAAAAAACTTTCTAGGAACCATTAAATCATAACAGTATGATTTAAAGTTTTTTTTTTTTGACAATAATATACATCCAACCTAAGGTGAAGGCCTGCACATGAATAATAATCATGTTATTTGATGATCAACAAGCAGACCCAACTTACTGTCTATGGTAAATTAACATTGATCATGTACTTTTTTTTTTAAAGTGGACACTCCCAGAAGATTATCAAGCAATGTATGCATTACACATTTAATATTCACACATTATACTGTACCTTAATTTTATACAAGACATGCTTTTGTGTTCAAAAACATCTATGTAGCCAAGATAGACCTAAAATTTAAGATTCCAAGACCAAATGTAACAATGTGGTTGAAAGCAGCCAGGGTGAAAAACAATTTGCATTACATCTATATGGTACGTTCAAGATTCAGCAAGGACATATTAAATTGGTCAAAAGTGACAGTAAAGCTTTTAAAATGTTACAAAACATTCATATTTCAAATAAATTTAAAAAAAAATGTTTTTGCTTCCACAAAAATATTAAGTAGCACAACTGTTTTCAACATTGATAATAAGAAATGTTTCTTGAGCAGCAAATCAGCATATTAGAATGATTTCTGAAGGATCATGTGACACTGAAGACTGAAGTAATGCTGATAATTCAGCTTTACATCACAGGAATAAATTACATTTCAAAATTAAACTGTAATAACATTTCACAATATTACTGTTTTTAGTGTATTTTTGATCAAACAAACACATCCTTGTTAAGAGTAAGAGACATTTTAAAAATCTTACCGAAACTTTGAACAGTAAGTGCATATATAAAATGTTGGTCAGCAATTCATTGTGCATGTCTAATCTATACAAGGCTATCCAATAAATCTGTAAGATAGCTCAACAGAAATAAAACAAACGGGGATCTAAAATTCCACAAGAGTTCCGTCAATAAAAGGTCTATCGGAATTGCCAGACTGTTCCTATGGGAGAGCTTGTCATTCCTGTGTACAGACAGTGTCTTGGGAACTGAGATCTATGGGAGCAGAAAGGCACGATCAAGCCCAGCAAAGAGACAGGAACTTAGGGAGCGAGTGATGGGATCCCACAGGACTGAGAAAATGTTCTGTGGTAAACAGACCCGCTGACAGGGCTGAGTCCCAGCCAACTTGACGGATTCTTGTCGCATACTAATGAAGGGATGCATGTCTTCTGTGTGTTGTGCTTGTCTGTCGTGCAATGATTTGGGATAACACACCAACATGATGGTTCTTTGGAGGGAAAATACTTGTGATGAATCAATAACTTGTTTTGACTATTGAGATTGCCAGTGTAACCCTGTGTATAACAGTAATACTATTTCAATTCAACTACAACCAAAATTGCTAAAATAAACTAACACTTACGTGTGTTAAGTATCACTTCTGTTAAGGGCCATACACAATATGTTTACATGTACCCAAATAATCAGTTTATAATGGGATTGAAGGCTCAGTTGGACTAAAAAGCTTTCATGTAAACACCTCAATCAATCCAAATAAAATTTTGATTGGATTAAAAGGAATAGTGTAGACCTGAGATAATCCGATCAACAGGATAAAAAAAAACTCTTTTCTCAATCGGATTCAAAAATACCTTGCACACATATGCAGTACTGGGATGAGTATGTTTACAAATGTTTTACTTAAAAATGTGTGTATTATGTCTTACAACTTACAAAATGATCAGTGGAGGACACTCTATATTTACTAAATATATATATATATTAGTGCTGTCAAACGATTAATCGCGATTAATCGCAGAGAAAATAAACGTTTTTGTTTGCATAATATATGTGTGTGTTCTGTGTATATTTATTATGTATATATAAATACACACTCATACATAATATATATTTTGAAAATATTTACATGTCTATATTTATATTAATATAATTTATATTATAAATAAATATATTTCATATATAAACATAACATATTTTTCTATATTTCATCATGGCAAAAATCGTATTTTTGCTCATGAAAGCTCCGATTAGCTACATTATTGTGATGATTTTCTGTTTTGTGATGATGATTCATTTGTAAATGAATATGTGAATCAGACATATAAACAATTCAGAAACAGAACTTCAGAATCTGAAATTGGATTGAATTCATTAAAACTGATGAAAATTGTGCATGTAAACACCAATTTTGCAGCAATTCTACAGTGACAAAGAGACTAAATATAATTAATTTTTAATAAGAGTTGGTGATTTCCTGTGACAAGCAACAGAGACCATTAGAGATGCAACAAAGTTAAGCAGACCACAACACTATGCTTAAAAAAGTGACAATGTGCCGACCGCCAAGGAACGTTACTACTAGAAAACAACAGCACAGCAACTTGCCAGCAAACATGGTTATTTCTCAAGCTGATGAAGTCAAAATGGCAAACATCAGCCAATTTATTAATTTGTGACTAGAAAATATTACTTAAAGTAATGACATAACAGAAGTAGTGAAAGATCTTTTATTCTGTATTGGATGTATACAAAAAAGGAGGGTGGGGAATTGGTTCTAGCCATCAGCTTTTGATTAGAAGATGGAGGCAGATCTGAATGCAAGCTTGTAGTCAATTGTATAAATTGACTTTTGTAAGAAATGAGTTTAAGTGGACTAGATGATTGAAGACCTGCATACTTCACGAGAAAAAAAGTATATTGTTTCACAGGAAGATCCATTTATGACATTTTACAATTAGCTGCCATATGCATGGATGAATCACTCACAATTAGATCTATAACATCCATTTAGAAAATGGATAGGGTGAATTTTCACTTTAATCAAATCAAGTTTACACACATCAGGAGAACCTCAGAAAGTGAATCAAGGGATGTTCAGTCTTTCTCCTGCCGTTTAACATCCAAACACAAATATACTTTGATCATCCGCCGTTTAACCTGTTGATGAACATCTAGCTAGTAACATTCCTCTCTTTGTTTACATTAAACATATCAAGAGACCCTAGTAAAACTATTTAAAATTATTAATTAACTTCTTTACTCTTAGGTTACAGTTTCAGGGTTTGGACTGCACGTTCTTCAGTACTTTTCCACCTAAGAACCTGGTATGCTCTACGTACTAGGTCACATATCTTTCTAGAAATTGCTGACTGGCAAATTTAATGTGATACAGACTTAAATAGGTACCTGTCAACTTGTATAAACAGTAATACACGACTCAGATCTCTCCTTTGGAGTCAAATATCAAAACCTTGCCTACATAAAAAAAAAAAAACTTCACTGATATTTACACCTATGAACACGTGGCCTTGAACTACATCACCATTAGCATTAAAAACGAAAAGACAGATCTAGTATGCCACGAAGAGAAGCAGTAATGACTAAAAAAAGGCATTAACAGGGATCCAAATGAATCATAGGTGAACACCTGCTTCCTAAGGCGGTCCTCAGGCTCTCAAGAAAGATGACCAGAATTTTCAGGGGTTACACCGGGGGCCCTGTTATGACAAACAACTTGGTGTTGTGGTTGCAACAAAATCTGTTGTAACATTATTAGAAACAACGTAACACTGGTTTCAGCTAGTAACTACAGATAAATCTTGATTATGATCCATTCATCTTTGGCCCACATGGTTTCTTCAAGGCAGTGTTTTGAAAACGATATGTGGTGCTACCAATAACACTGTATTACTAATACAGAATTTTTAAAAAACACCCATCATTTAGCCATTTATACTGTCAGTGTCAATAATAACAACATCCAAAAGCATATCAATTTTGTTACAGCATAAAACAAACCCAGAAATCTTGACGTCAACCTGATATTTGACAGGTGAGCTGTCGATCATAAAAATCAAAACAGTATGCATTAAATGCCTTAAATCAAGAATAGCATTTTGTGTTCGTAGGGAAATGTTAGGATTTGATGATTCCTTTACATTCCTAACACTAGATATCTAATTGAATTCTATGGAAATGTGGGAAGCACAAAATGATGGTCAGTATTGGCTTTTAAATACTTGACTAACCTTCATATTCGTAGTTCTAATACTAAAATAATTCTCTTAGGTCTAATAAAATTGATCCTGATAATTTGTCACAATGGAACTGAAATGTGAACTGAAAACTGAAATCAGGTTATGAAAAACAATAAACCTACAATATTAACATAGTGGGAGGCATTCACTGTCTTAAAGATGGTATAGTTTAGCAAAAACAGTACTTACTTCATCCTCTGAGAGTCCGTAAATGGGTTCAAAATTCGTAGCCATAAAGCCAAATGGCAATTTAATACAAACATACACAAAAACACGCACACGCTCGTGTGAAAGCTGGAACAATAGCAAAGTGTGTCCTCCTCCACCTCCTGTGAATGCAAGTTGATCCAAAGCAACGAAGTCTTGAGTCCAAAAACGATTATCCTTTTAAACCATATCGTGACAGAAGATGTACGTCCACCGGTTTAATCTCATTTAACGGCTGAAATTCGGTGGATACACGCTTAATTTTCCCAACAATATGATTTGCCTTCGTCAAGTGCAAACGCGAATCATTCACTTCCTCTCAGGATCCGAAACACTCCCCGCAGAAATGAGTGACAACTTATCGCGCCAATCACAGCGTTTTCCGAAACTCCGTGAGGACCGACTATCCAATCCGTGTAGATTGTGGGCGGGGCAACGTTGTTGCACTTTTGTGGAGTAATCAGGGATGGGTAGTTTCCTAGATCCCAATATCGGATCCATAAGAACTTGACGTTTTATTATATTGCATACATGTCTATGGGTCTGTATGCATATATTGTGTTAATTAACACTTCGTTTATTTAAAAACCCAGTTATAAGCTGTTTGAGTCTTGCAGCTAGTGACAGGACTCCTATAGCAGTACTCTAGCACCCTCTACAGTTAAAAGAGCGATACTGCCAACATGTGCCAATTTATGATTAACACCCAACACTGGGCAAAGTCCAACTGTTATGCATCATGATTCATCGTGCGTGTGAAATAGCCTAGAGAGGAACGGAACTAAAAGATGTTTTCTGCTGGTTTCTACTGGTGTTTTATTGCTCTTGGCTTTTCTACATTGAAGTGATGTTCAACAGCCTGAAAATGAACTTGAAGATCAAACGGTGTAATTTAGAGGTGGAAATGGTAAAAGAGTCTGAAAATGAAAAGTTGAAAAGAGTCATTAAATATTCTCCTAGATTTAATATGACTCTTTGGGGTTAAATGATCTAACAAGTGTGCCAAATGTATTCAAAAAAAATAAATACGTAAAATAATTAACATAAATAACATGATGAATTGAATTAAAAACATAGTAGGCCTAAAATAATAACTGTTAAAAACTAAAATACACAAAAGTTGGACACGCAGTTCACAGGAAGAGGCTGTTCAAAAGTGCAAATGCTGAGTTACCTTGATTAGCCTAATTTGCATTTTAATGGTGTTACACTGTATAATGATTTTATTTGAAGAAAAATTATTTAATGGTGTGTGTGTGTGTGTGTGTGTGTGTGTGTGTAATATAGTATATAAAGTATAATAACAATAAAAGAAAGGGTGACTAGTTACAGCACCTAACATATATTTTTCGATTATCCACCTTATTTTTTTATTACGAACATTATATCAACCAATAAAAAAGCAGTTACAATACAACAACACAAAATAATAATAAAAAGAAAATTAAATAAAAAAAATTATAATGACAAAAAAAAATTACTAGACAGTATAAAATTAAACAAAACACATTACATTCAAAGGAAAAGATAAAACAGCTTACAAATTTCAACTGTTTTTAAAGCCTTCTTGTTCAATGAGTTCAGATTATTTCAGCAAGCGAAACATATAAGTGACGTGAAGTGACATGTGGCCAAGTATGGTGACCCATACTTGGAATTAGTGCTCTGCATTTAACCCATCCTAAGTGCACACACACAGCAGTGAACACACCGTGAACACACAGCCGGAGCAGTGGGCAGCCATTTATGCTGCGGCGTCCGGGGAGCAGTTGGGGGTTCGGTGCCTTGCTCAAGGGCACCTCAGTCGTGGTATTGAAGGTGGGAGAGAGCGCTGTACATTCACTCCCCCCACCTACAATCCCTGCCGGTACGAGACTCGAACCCGCAACCTTTGGGTTACAAGTCCGACTAACCATTAGGCCACGACTTCCCCTAAACAGTGGCTTCTGAGATGTGAATGAATAGAACAGTGGCTTCTGACATGTGAATGTACATTTATGTATATAAAATTTTGTTAACAAGATAAGGAAGTACAATTTGTTTTTCTGTAAATGCACTTTTTTTTTTTTTTTTAATTAACAAATCCAAACAAAACATTTTCCCAAAGTAAATAAAAATCTTTATCAATATTCTCAATAGCAAGGAGAGGTCTTTTCACAACAATTTAGGGTAGTGCCAAAATAAATGCACTATAGTCTCCGGGTATCTTGTATCTTATCTGGGTATAATATCTTTTATATATATATATTTCTTTAAGAAAGTAGCCAATTATCTACTAACCTATTATATTATCCACCTTATTTTGCTATTTTCTTTGACTGTGCGACACTTCTGATTTATTAGCCGCTATAAGCAAATAACTCGAAGAATAACTGTGCAGTACTGCACAACAAATCAGTGCGATTATGATAGTGAATTAAAACCACGTAATAACATGCATACCAGTTTGCAATATCAAGCAGCATATTGGACTGTTTTTGTACAGGTAAAATAACTGTAAAGGAATGACACCGGAAGTCTCGCACATTCAAGTAGCCAAAATGGCCACGCCTGCATTTACGTTAAAAATACGGTGGATACATTCACATACATTTCAATGTATTAATCTTAATGTAGAAAAAAAAATCATACATGTTGTTTTAGAAGTTTCTCTGTGTACCAGTAGATGTCCTCATATTACCGCATAAAAACTCACTTTGACCTGAACGAGTGGTAAAAGCACTGTGGTATAATAAATCAGCTAGGGCTTTACTTAGTTGCCAAGCTCATAAATAAGTTCAAATGACTGGTTAATATCAAATAAAACATTTGCCAAATTTCTATTTAATTTATAGATACATTAAGACTTGCAGCTTGGTTTATTATATTACTTTGAGAATGTGGTACTGAATTCAATAAAGCTTTTAAAATGCTTTTATTGACTCAAGAGCGTGACACAACATTGAATATCGACTAAAGAGCAATCTTCTGTTAACCTTAAATTACTAAGCTTTGATAAATGTAATGGATTACATTATGCCAATAGACATTATGTCAATGTTCAAGTTAAAAAAAACAGTTGATTTTGTTGAAGAAGAAAAATCCATACCACAATGGCAATTCTAGTTCCAGATGGTAGAATTACGTAACACCAAAACACGCTGAGTAGGACAGAGGAGGATTTTTTGGCATCTCCCTCACCCACCCAACCATGAGAGCAAATTCAGTCTCTGGTTGGGAAACAGTTACTTGTTGGAGGGTTTCCGGATGTGTTTAATAGAAATCTCACCGGTGCCAGCAGCCAGGTGCACAGGTGTGGAAAGTTCTAGAAAGAAAGGCACCGATGAACAAAACCGATTCATGAGCTGCATTTAATCTTCCTTGTTTTTCAAACACAGCTGTTCTTTAAGGCCTTCATCACACACAAGCAAACATGACTCTGTTAATGACTTCAATCACTCCTAAAGCAGAAGGGGTCAGAGTTCATCGACAGGACCATGATGTTAATGGATGTTGACAGATCCAGTTCAGTAGTTTGTGGTTTAATATTTGGTTAGCCCAAAATTCTAAGTAATTGTAAAATCCTGGATTTATTGCAGCATTAAAGAGATGATAAATGCTGTCGTTTACAGTAGGGTAAGAGGAAGGACTTTTATGCTGAGTCTTTTATTCATTTTATTGATGCCACAGATAGTGATTGATCTGCTATTCTCATAAGCATTTGTGAAATATGCAGATTATTCAAATGTTTTACGGGTATTCAAAGAACCAGAATTGACATCAGGATACTACAAAAACTGTAACAGGAAGCAAGACTAACCTTTTGGGAGAGTTTTGGGATGGGGAAGACATACTGTTCTACAGAAGATTTGGCAATAAGACAGATGCCTGACAGAGGCAGAGAGCACATGGCAGTGCACTCGTTCAGTGTTGGACAGCTGGCGTGAGCCTGACATGCAGTCGACCCTTTCTGGCCATGATGACGGCTCAATCTCACAGATTAGATGAGTGGATGTAAAAAAAATAAAGGGAGAGAGAACTGAGCCTGTGTGAACATTAATTCAGAAGTCAGGTGCATGCAAAGAATGCAGAACATACTGCATTTAAACATACTTAACCATTAAATAGATTGGGGTCAGTAAGATTTTTTGTAAGTTTGTTTATTTAAAAAAAAAAGTATTTTATGCCAACCAAGGCTGCATTTATTTGATCAAAAGTAAAGTAATATGATTAAATATTATTACGATTTAAAAAACTATTTTCTATTTTGATATGTTTTAATGTTTTATTTATTCCTGTGATGCAAAGCTGAATTTTCATTAGCATTATTACTCCAGTCTTGGTGCTTAAGAAGCATTTGAATACAGTTGTGCCACTTAATATTTTTGTGGAAACTGTGATACATTTTTTCAGGATTCTTTAATGAATAGAAAAAAAAGCATTTGCTTGAAATACATTTTTTTTTTGACATTATTAATGAGTCCATACTGAATAAAAGTATTAATTTCTTTAAAAAAAAAAAAAAAACCTATTGACACTAAATTTTGAATAGTAGCATAAATCTCAAAAAATTTTGTAATACTGGATAGGATATGCAGTGAATGCATGTGCTGCACAGTTGAATGAAAAAAAAAGTATTCATTTAAAAATAAATGAAGAAAGTTATTTTATTTATTTAATTAAATAATATGTAATATTAATAAATTATGAAAGCTTATTTAAACAAACATTGAAAATAACACAACAACCAAGTGGCCAGAAACAGATGACGTTATTTTGTCTCAATTTTACATCTGAAGTGGCTTGTTTCTGGGTTTATCTCAGCTTGAAACCCTATAGCCATCATTGCCCACTTCCTTTTTCTCTCCTGTAATTCTCTCTCTTGGTATTTAGCACTCACTTTATATCCATACAGACTTATAGTACAATAACCTAAAGCACACTCCCCCAGAGGTGACCTTTGTTAAGTGCTTCACTCTAGGACACAATTCAATAACTACACAGTGCACAGGACATCCAACATTAGGATTAAATCTGTGATATTTTGATGCCACTCCAAATTCTTCAATATTTGACTACCACTGAGAAAAAATTTGTAATACTGGATAGTAACTGGATAGGATATGCAGTGAATGCATGTGCTGCACAGTTGAATGAAAAAAAAAGTATTCATTTAAAAATAAATGAAGAAAGTTATTTTATTTATTTAATTAAATAATATGTAATATTAATAAATTATGAAAGCTTATTTAAACAAACATTGAAAATAACACAACAACCAAGTGGCCAGAAACAGATGACGTTATTTTGTCTCAATTTTACATCTGAAGTGGCTTGTTTCTGGGTTTATCTCA